ATCTTGGCACACAATGCTGCGGATCTGCAAGAAATAATGAACACAATAAATCGAACTTGCAAAGATTATGAATTAAAAATAAATGTACAGAAAACAATGTCCATGTTGATTTAGTACGAAAAGTGGAAGACCATTTCAGCTGTTCATCAGCAATCAATCTATTGAGCAGGTTCGTCAGTACAAATATTTGTGACAAATTTTAAATGACATGAACATCAGATTTGGAAATAAAAACGAGAATTGAAATAGCGAGATCCACATTCAACAAAATGAGGAATTGTGTATGTAGCAGAGACTTCAGTTTTACTCTCAGGCAGGGAGTGACCAAATGATATGTGTTAGCCATTCTCTTATATGGCAATTAGATTCTCTTATATGGCAATTCTCTCTCTGACACAAGGACACTGAAAACAGCATCAATTAATAGACTCGAGGCTTTCAAGATGTGGATGAACAGGAGAATGTCGAGAATTCCTTAGACTGACAAAGTGCGTAATGACTACATATTCGAAGTAGAAAGAAATGCTTTATGCCAAAATATATTAAAAATGATTAAAATTAGAAAAACAATGTATCTTGGTCATTTCCTTAGAAATCAGAAATACAAACTCTTGCTACTGATAATGATGGGGAAAATTCAGGGTAGACGGGGAGTTGGCAGAAAGAAGATATCCTGGTTGGCAAACATCCGCAAATGGACCGGTATTTCGAGTGCATCTGAGTTGTTTTATTTGGCACAATACAGAAACGGTCACCAACCTTTGGTGAAACGGTCACCAACCTTCAGTAATAGAGACGGCTCTCAAAGGACGTTTATATTTAGCTGTATGGTTCTGTAGGCAATTTACACCACATATGGGCGTTGTTTCGTTTCTGGTAATTTGTATTGTAAATAGTAATGGAATTCCCAGGGCATACAACCCATCTTGAGCTGAGTCCACGGTTTGGTTGAGAATGGCCATAACGTTGACATTTTTTACACAGAACTGGCCCCTATGTATTAATTCTAATAAATACTCTGATTTCGCAAAATTTAGATCATTAAGATTTAAAACTAGTCTGGATTATTCGTTGTCAATTAAATCTACTGCCCCTACTTTCATTGGAGATGTCTTTGTTATATAGTCTTGTGCGTTTCAACACTGAAAAGCCTTTTGATTTAAATCCATTTTCATGCCTTCGCCTTTAAAAGGGGAATGTCCTTGAGAACAATTGCAATTTTTTAAACAGTAGGGTAAAGGTAGGCGTGGTATATTGTACATTTCGGATTGTTACAAAGAAAGGTATATTTCACATTGTTTTGTTCACGTTCATATATCTATGTTCAAAAATGTCTGAAATCACAGAAGTCTTTAATTTTTTCAAAATATATTTTGATTTTGTCACCACCCGGGTTCGAATCCCGGCCGGGGTGACCATTCATTGAACAAATTTAATTATTTTGATTTTATTTCCAGTTTTTGTATGAAATTTTCATGATGTAATACTTTTAATGTAATTTATTAGATGGCTATATTTTTCAGCGTCGCGGGTTATTATTGGTGGGATTTTATTATTTGTTGCTAGAGTCATTTTGATGAATATTGTTACTAGTCAGTTCTTTAGTTTGAAGTATGTCATATATGTTGGTTACTGGTCATATCTGTTGGTACAGTCGACATGTGTATATGTAGTATATGTACATGCATACAGTCTGCATGCTCACTTTCGTTGCGGTGCTTTTTAAGTCTTTTATGTTCTTCTGATTCAGTATGTAGGGAAATATTCTTTTGTAGAGCTGGAGTTATTTGATCGACTGTTGCTTACGTTTGTAGTTACATGTTGTTGTTGTTACTGGGGCTACGATGGTTAAGAATTCGAGAGCAGGAGCGTAAATTCAATCAGTTTCTGTGGTGGTGGTTTCTGTTGCAGTAGGTATTGTTGTTGCATTCGTTGAAGGTGATTGCGTTCTTCGACATCTATTTCATGTGGAGTTGTATCATACATAACTTGTGATACAAGAATATCGGTTTCTGCTTCACTCACATCGTTGGCACTGGCGTTTTCTATCACGAGAAGTGGTTGACTTACACACTTGACAATAGTTACACTTCACAGTGGAAATAAAAACGTTCACACGTACAGTAATTATATTAATTGTCTACTTTATGCTGCAATAGGCATTTTTGGCCGGGGATTGCACAGAACTGGTGCGACTTTCGAAAATTCTCCAATTCGGCTACCCTGTTTCTTCTATTTGTTCAAGTGAACTCAGCTTTTGGTTTGGACTGTTCTTTACCAGAAAATCTTTGTCTTCAGTTATCCCGAAAACAGCTGAACCGACAATTTCGCTGATGTCGTCATAGGAACCTTGGATTACATATTCACAATGCGTAGTCTGCTTTCCTCTTTGTGAGATACAAAGGCTAACTACTGAACTACTGAAATGAATTTACTGTAAGCCAGCACTACTCTCTTCCATTGAGCATCGTTGGATATGAGACTCCTTTACTTAGCTGTTTTCCTTGTTCCCTCAGCTTTTATCATTGTATTGCTTGTCCCAACCACCGTGCTGGGAGTTCGCTCTTCAGACAATGAATTTTACTGATTCACATCTCGCCCCTGCAACCGTACTATTAGTATTATTTTGTTTTGAGGGTACAATGAAGATTCAAATACCAACGACATCCACAACAAGAGCATCATCATCGAGACATGTCGCTCAGCTCGTCAACTGTAAGGGGAGTCAGTACCACGTCTGCTTCACGACATCTGACTCTTGAACAATCGCTCTAAATTCTGATAATTGTAGAACCCTCTCGAAGCGTCGATTAACCACTCTGCGTTCCCTAACAACGAAACATTTGTTTTAGAATGATTTTCCTCAGTTGCTTCAATGGGGAATACAAAGACGTGTTATGATTTTCAACGAAACATCAGTTGAAAGGCTTCATCTGCCTACAGGGCTCTCTCATCCAGGGTTTTACACTATGCCGCTCTTTTTGCAAGCAACGTAAGAAACTCAATGTATCCGAATAATGACCAAGTATGAGAGAAGGAAAATATTACAGTAGGCCACATTGAGGATAGGTATTAGAAACACATGCTGCTCTTGTTTTACGTGCTAAAAAGAATGCATTTGTGCAAGATCTCGAAAATATATTATTTTTTTAAGCGTATATTAGACCATTTATAAATTTGGAAAGGTGTTAGTTACTAAGAATAACAAATACAAAAAGTTTGCTATTGATCATTAGTGTTCATTTGCTGAGTACGTTTTTACTTTGGCATTTAGCTAACACTTAAGTATTTCTTTCAACTAAAAGTGTACTCCACAAATGAGAAGAATCGCTGGTGGTTGGAAGGACATGCATTTGTCGCCTTCAATGAAGGGATACCCTGGACGCACATGTTGTTTAGTCCTTCGAAAACTATTAATAATGAAACTAAATAGGAAAGTAGTTTCTTAGCCAATACAAGGAAATACACTTATATTTCTTATGTATGTATTCCATAATGTAAGGAATCGAAATTCGACTTTTTTCCGTTACTTCGAACGAAACGAAATAACGAGGAAATCATTTTTAATTACAGTGGCACAATGCTATTAAATTTTCAATTACAGTGCTATTAAATGAAATGTAGTTTCGTTTCTGTTGTCATCTATACCATAAAGTCACAAGTCATGTCATAAAGTCTTTGCCATAAACTCACTGTAAATATTTCATTTTTAAATCGAGAAATGTTAAATAATTCGTTTACATGTCAATTCAATTGTTTAAAGTTCCTCAGAGATCAAGCTGAATTTTGGTATTAATTGTATGTCAACATTTGCAAGTATATATTTTTATTGACGGCATATTTTATATGGACATTTACAACTAACAGATATTGACTAACATGACCAACAATAAATTAGTATAACGTTCAGTCGATTGTCTGGAATCTTCTTTAGGTATTCGTAAAATTGTTTAAAATTATACAATTAACGTTACACTATGTTAATTATACATTACAACTACAAAAAAGTCACATACAATACATATACATTATTTCACAACGTATTACTTGATGACATTAAATGATTAAATTCGATAATGAAGTTTAAATGCTAAGTCAAACCTTTTCTGCTGCATAACTGTTTCTACAGAATAAGACACTATACAGAGCAGCAAAGAGAAAATTAATATTAATTTTAATAATGATTTTTATTGTATTAATGATCATTTGGACTGTATAATTCTAAACAACCTGTAACAATCAATGTACCTCAGCTTCTGTGTCAATGACCCCCTTCTCGGTCAGGTTTTTCGTCCAGCTTCCCTGATCTTTCCAGGGAATGCCAAGATGGTTCCTTGTTTTGCTTGTGGTCATAAATGTAACTTCACTATCAGTGCACGACCTTTAGAGTTCTGTGGTTAATATAGTTATTCAAATTATCGTTCTCCGTGTTCTCGAGGCAGGAAGTCCTCCATGAAAGGTACAGAGAGGGAAAATAGCTTAACTCTGTAGCTGATTTGACTTTTCAAATGGTTTTTATTACCATGGAGCGAATATTTTTGTAAATTCTTACCAAAAATGATATTTTTTCTGTATTCAGAATTTAATTTGTATATGAGTTAGGGTAAGAATCCCAAAATTTCAGAAAACGTGCACGGGATACATTCTTCACATTTCTCAAGTCACATGTGTAATTTTTGCATATTGTACATACAACCTGCAGCGTTCAGTTACTATTACAATTTCCTTTACAAGAATCTATATTTTCATTTACTACCTTCACGAGCTTCTATTCACTAATATCTACGTTATGATTTGCACGACTATTTTATTTCCTCGCGTAATTGTTGTTCGCTTCCTATTCACTGTTGATACGTCACGAAATAGCATTAACCAGCACGAGTGTTGGCTTCTAGCTTTGGTGTGACGTAACGTGTTTGTTCGCGAAGCGAAGCCAGGCGGCCGCAGAAAGCGAGTCGGTGGCGCGATGCGTGAATGAAGCAACTGTGCTTGTGTTGCAGCCCGAGGATGCGGTCCAAGCATCTTCGATTCTCTGGTCGGCGCTTCCAGCGGCGGGAGTGCTGGCGGGACGCCGCTCCCCCTCCTGCAGCTGCCGCCTCGCTCGTTGCAGGCGCTGTCGGAGGCCGCGGCGCTCGGCGAACTGGGCGTCACCACGGTGCACATCACCGCCCTAGGCGAACCGGCCTCGTCACCTGCTCCAGAGTTTCAAGACTACGAGGTGGACGTGGAGGTAGCCTTCATTTGCAAGAAGTGTCGCCTCGCGTTTCAGGAGGAGAAAGCTCTCCTGGCCCACCAGCGGCTCTCCTGCTACTCCGGCAAGGCAGCGGACCAGCGCAGCGCTCTCCGCTTGGTCCACGCGCATTACGAATGCCGGGCGTGCGGGGAGCGCTTCCCGTCGACTGAGCACTTGAAGAGCCACTGCGCGTCCGAAAGCCATCTGAAGAGAGCGCGGCTCCCGGCGCCGGGGGGCGCTGAGCTGGCGTACGCCCGCACTGCCCAACTCGCGTCACCGATCGGGTCTCTGCCACCTCTCCAGGCGACATCTTTCCCGTCAAAACACTCGAGCCCTCTTTCTCAAAGAAGCACTTCCATAACGGCACCGCCGACAGCAGTTTCGCCCTCCGAAGGGCTGTCGCACGAAATGGAAGATGTCGTGAACCAAATTACTTTGCTCGCTGCGAGAACTGCAGCGGAGAAAAACGCACTAGCGGTGGTCTCTTTGCCGCAAGCCGTGACGCCCGTCTCCACCGACTCCAACGCCAACATCAAGGATGGACTAGACCTCTGCCAAGTGGATGACGTCACTTGCAAGCGCATTCTTCACATCAACGACACGGCTGCCGCTCCGAGTGTTGGTTATTAGCTGCTTCGTGGAGGTTCTGTGGCTGCTGGAGCCGTGCCGTTGCCATCAACTCTGTTATCAACTCCCTATCTCTACCAACATGGCTTCTAGCCAGTTGGCGCCCTCCTGCTACACAATGGAGCGGCTGTTCTTAACCCTAGGAACTCGCATAGGAAACAATAAGAAATATTTGTTAAATGTTGTTTAAATAATCATTAAACCTCGCTACTTTTCATGAATAACTATTATACAAATGACGATTTTAACTCCAAAGAATGAATTTAATAAGTAATTCCTAATTACAAAGTATATATTATATAGATATATAAAGTATATATTGACACATATTTTTCACTTGAAAGGAAAATAAATAGTGTCATGTAATATTTTGATGAAAAATAAGAAAGTATAAATATCGATTTGGTATAGATGAAAACAAAGACTTAGTGAATCGAGAATAGTACCTAGAAATTATCAGTACCTTTTTAATTTTAAATGTTTTTTGTGACAGTTTAAGAGAAAATCCCATCCAGTGTAACCTGGAAACCTTGCTAAAGTTATAATGAAAATATAAGAACTGAAGAATAACAGGTTTCACATAATACATCTGTTTATCCTATTGGTTAGATATATAATATATTATATACATTTCATATAATATATTATGTATTACATATATATTGTATGCGTGTATGTATATGTGCACAATAGGATACATTTGTCTGTAATATATTATAGTAATTGTTTCTCTTGAAAAGTGTCTTGTTACAAAGAAATCAAAAGAATTTTATATATTTAAGCATTAGAATATAATTCAAATAGCCACGGGCCAGAGATGGCATTTGTTCCTGAGTTCCTAATACTGCCATCTCCTGCAAGTCAGCTGGAAGGTTCCCAGTGCTTGCTGGGGGGTGGGCAATCGCGCGCGACGGGGCTTTCTGCGAGTCCTTCCTGCGTCTAGCAAGCGCTCGAGCAGCGTCCCAATCCCTGGCGGCAACCTCTTAGACTGAAGCCCGCGGGAACTAGAAAAACTTCAACACGACACTTGGACGTCCGTGTACTAATAATGTAAATGTAAATAACTAATTCTTAAGGGTTTTAATAATTCTGAAGAGGGAGATGAGGGCAATTGAAAGTGTGAAATAAATAAGATGTAAAATGAATCCACACCTCGCTATTTGTCTGTGACTGTGCCATTACAATGAAGTATCATGAGATTTAATGCGATATTGTAAGTCGAAGCAAGTGATTAGACTATTGTTTGTGTGTATGACAGTTTGTTTCCCTTCTTGTAATATTATCATATGGTTCTAATGAAAAGTAATTTATTACAAATAGGGAGTATGAAAAAAGGGAAACCACCTCATTCATTGTGAATTCTGTTTACTGCTACTTCTAGGGTCCAATTAATAAAACTGTGTTATATAAACTTAATACATTTTTTAGAACACCAAGAAAAACATTTACATTTGTATGAGTGGGAACATTTCGCGTGTGTCTCATGTCCAGTGGCATGTGTCGCCGAGTGCTCGGAGCCACCGGTGGCTCAGCCCGCTGGCGTTTCAATTCCCTGCACGGGTCCACCACCGGGGATCTCTTGCCTCCGCCAATGCGTCTGTCTCTAGGACCTCGCCTAGCAATGTTTCGCGTTCTTTTCCACACTAGACATACGCCTCTCTGCCTTTGGCTTGTGTGGAAAATTAAATAAAATGGAATTTATTTTCCCCAAAAAATTAAATAAAATAATCGTACCATTCTCTGAAGCCTGGGACAGAAATGGTTTCGAACTATTAACGTATCGTATTGTAGGAGAGAGGTATTTCAAAACATTGCAATTTCGCATTTCTTCGTGAACAGGACGATTGGAATCGATGTGGTTAGTGTGCACACACGTTCGTAGACTTGCAGTGTTTCCAAGTGTATTTTGCACATGCGGCTGGCGACGAGCAGCGGCGTGTCGCGCGGATCGAGGGACTCGTTGCAGAGGACGGGGAGCGATGGCGGAAGGGGACAGGACGAGAAGCGCCGCACAATCTCGGCTCTCTTCGCGCATTTTCGCACAAATGTGAACCATCTCTACCGTTTTGTACAACTGTTTCCTATTTCTCGCTGCTCGTCGTCGAAGCTAGAAGTCGCTAAGTTCTCTAGAACACAGTTCTCCAACACTGCAGTTCCTACAGTGTGTCTCTACGGACCACAAAGATCTGCTCTCCGAAAGTACGCATCCCAGCACCCAAGGTTCCTATCTTTAGCTAACATTACTAAGGTTCCTGTTTATGAATGCTTTTTCTATAATAATACTTAAAATAAGATATTAATTATTGTACTAATACTAGTTCCGTGTGCCGGGTCAGTCAGTGTAACTACATTTCGTATGAGGGGTGTGGAGGCTGGGGGGACGGATCGTGACAAATACTGAGCAGAAAATGCAGTGGAGCTGTTGATATCTCAACTTCGGCTAAGTATCTTTGTGAAGGATGGAGTAGCATTTGGTAATATTGAAAGTTCATGACATGTTTTCGATTTCTTGCTTGGAGCTTGTTCACCTCCGAATCCCTACTCTCGGGGAACTACTTACACAAAGCACATATGACATTACGAACACTGTTCCTCAATGTATGCCCTTCCCTGATTTGATTTTATAATGACATTGCCAATGTACACTATTAAACGACTTTAACGATTGGTAACAAAGACTCCCAAAAAGACTTTTTATGTGTCAGTGCCAGTACTTTTTCGAAAACGTATGTTTAGACTATAATTATTGAATATGGCTTTCAAAGTGTGTGCGTGTGTACATACATTTATAAATACTTACATACATACTATTATTATCCTTGACAATGGAGACTTGCACAAAGCTAATTTCCAAAACTTACGGTGGCCGGTTATAATAGAAGAGCGGTTATTGATTTCACACTGACAGAGCTCCATTGCTATTTGTTCCTGAGGGCGGCGCCGCGTGCTCCGTTCTTAACTCTCACAACGATGGAAATCGATACGAGATATTTTATGGAATTATTGTATGGGTTTATTGTTCCAAAGTGGAGAAGTGTTGTGATGATTCTACTCCTGTGTCCATGGCACCTTCAACGACCTTCAACGACGCGCCATTTACCTTTGATTAGGTGGCGGCGGCGGGGGCGGCGGCGACGTCGTCCACTCAGGGCTACGCCGTGCTGGAGCGGGCGGCGAGGCCTGGCAGCGGGGGTGTTTAGGCAGGCGCGATACGCTGCGGCGCCGCGGCGCGGGAATAATCGATTTTTTGCCGGTAGCAAGGGGGCATGTTGTCGCCAGCGCCTAAGAATCTGGATTCGGACTGACGTTTCCCCATCGCCGTCCCACCGCTTCCTCACCCCCTTTCCTTTTTGCCGCTTCTCCTTGTCCGTCTTTCTGTATTCCTGCCACCGTTTGTCTCACTGCCCCTCCCGTGGCATGCCGAGCCGCCGCCGCCGCCGCTGCCGCCGCCGCCGTCGTCGGCGACGTCGTCCACTCACACGAAGCCGCCAGCGCGCTCCGCGACCTCTTCCTGCCTCCGAATGACGCGAGAAACACCTATGTACTTCCGCGCCCGGCAAGGAAAAAGAAGTTGCTATGTTATATGGCACTAGCAATGCTTATTATTATATGAAAATATAATAATGACGTACAAAATACGAAACCTCGCCCAGTTTAAGTAATATTTGTAGTAAGTGTACGTATGTGGATATGTAAAATTGTTTTACTTTGTTCACAATTTTTTTATGTAAGTGATAATGAATCTATGGTGTGGTGAAGATGCATGTCAATGCAGCTGATTATGGTTCCTAGTAGATTTCATATCTTTTAAAATAAATGAATAAAAAATAAAATTTATTGTGCAGGGGGGCAAATTGCCATCACTGAAATATAACTAATAAAGAACACTACCTCTTGATCAGTCTGTGCGTGCACGCTCGCTGTAGCAACAGAGACATAAACTTACTATGCTCGCCCAATGCTAAGCATTTTGTTCATTGTTAGTTAAGAGGTTAAAACAGCGAAAGAGAATCAGGAAGAAATCATATCATGGGTACTTATCAATTGTTTCATCTTCTCCTTCTTTATGCAGTATGTTTTCATAGAATTTATTTTTGATAAATGCTCAGTGAATGTTTGTTGATTTCTCACAAATTTCTGCTGGAAGTCACCACATGTTCGTACTGATATTTTTAAATACTCTCCCATGTATTCATACACCTGATTGCTCTGATTGTCTGAGTATTGCAAACTAATAGCTACATTTCGTCTTGTATCTGAAAGGAAGCTTCCTGTCCCTTTAAAATTATTCTTATGATTTCACTCAATAAACCCTAACCCTTTTTTATTGCTAATGTCTCTTGAATTACAACTAGATATGAGAATAATACTTCTAACTACAAAATAGAGTGACATGAATGGCTGTCTGGAGTCCTCAAAGTTTGAGCTCTTAAATGGAGTATGTTTTCACGTTTTGAAAATGTTTTTTTAGTTTCTTACAAAACTTAATTATGCTCATGAGATTTATTTTAAAAGCTTAAGTCACTTTATAAAAGCACATAAGAATACTTTTGAAAACAAAGTTGTGCCATTGTACTGCTGTGATCTTGATATTATTATGTTATATGGTATGATGCAATTTTATAAACCATCATATGTTTGCAATTGCTGGGTCACCTCACACAGATGAACAGCCCTACAAACTGCCAACAAGTTATATGGAAGTCATTGTATGTTTCAGTGCCTCAAGAAATGTAAAAATTGTCTCTCAATTTCATCATTATTTGAAAGAAATTGTATCTTATAAACTGCTTTATCATCTGGTATTGAAGCCATTTCAATCAGTCTCTATGCATGAAGGCATAGAGAGGGCCAAAACAAAAAAAAACAAAACTGTTTTCTCATATTGCATTTGTTTTCTTTTTCTATGTCATCTGAAAGAGCTTCTCATTTTCATCACTAATTTGCAAGGCTGCATTTGTAATATATTTCCCTTGCAGATGTATGAATGAACATGTGGAGATTGTATTCTAAGAACTGAATGTGTAACAATTGAAATGTACTTCATATCCAGCATCTACACATGACTCTTTGTTCACAGACATGTATTTTTGCAATTATATATGTAGCATGAATGAGTTATTATTGATATTTATAATGCTATACTGTTCTGATAACATGCTTTTAAGAACAATTTGTATGTTCTGAAAACACTTTCTTTAAAAAAATAACTCCAACAACAAAAAATTATATAAATGTTCATTTGTTCTCTGAACTTGCTCCTGATCCACCAGAAAATGTTGTTTAAACATATATTAAGCTAAACAACTTGGCAGATTTCCATTTTCAGCTGTTCAAGTGAGTCAAGAATGACCTGAAACACCTTCATTCATGTGATCATACTAATAGTACATTTCTACAACAAACTGTCTAAAGGGTTTTTTATTACAGAACATTTGTGTTTTGTAAAGGAATGTGCGAATCTCGAATCACAGACTTTATTTTTTTCATTCCTTCCTTTGTCCTATTTCTCTACATTCCCCGATTATTTTTTTCATATTTTAACACCTTTAAAATAAATGTGTAGTAATTTAAATTTATTAGTATTAACAAAAGTGTAATATAGTTTTAATTATTTTCAATAGAAAACTGTAACAATTCTTTTTTATTTGTTGATTGAGGTAATATCAATTAGGAAATGTATCTGATGAAATTATTATTCTTGTTTCCTAATGAAATAATTAATGCTATTTTCTTTTGGTCTATTGCAAAGAAGAATTAACCATAAAGGGCTTTCATAAAGTAAATCTCATTGCAATATTGTGACAAGAGCCATTTTATCCATTGTATGAAAAATATCTTTTTAAATTGTTATCTAAATCTGTATTGTTTTCTTTATTATGCTTTTTGGAAAAGAATATAAACTTACCTTTTCTATAAATGCAGTTTGCTAAGATAGACAATACTTTGTATTTTATCATATGTGAATGTGTGAAGAGGAAACAAACATCTTACAGTAAAATAATATATAAATATTTTTATATCTTATTTTTTTTAGATGAAATTGGGATCCTCTCTTATTGGAGAGTACGCAATATTACCATGTTCTATGATAATACAATGAATAGTATTTGTAATGATATACTTACGTGTACAATACATTGTATGTCATATATTATTATGATGTATAAATGTATAACATAGGTGTATTAATACATACATTGATATATACACTCACATTTGATATTACTTACTTGTTAATTCTTCAAGTGTGCTTTGTGACTTCAGCAGAAATTGTTGAATAAATGTTTCGATATATCACTTTTAAGTAGATAATTACCTGATATCTCTCATTTATGTCATGTAATTAATTAATTAATATTAATTCATTATGGAAGAGTTATTTTGTTTGTAGCTCCAAATATCATTCATTCATTTATTTGCTATAATTTATTTACAAATTCCAAATGATGATGAAGATGGTTATGATGATGCTGATAATGATGATGGTGATGATTATGTATGTATATATATTGATTATTGAGTAATAATATTCTTGTGTAAAGACCCATGACATTGAGGACATGTCCTTTTTTGAAAATGTATGAGTGTGGGTATAGATGAGTGTGTGTGTGCGAGTGTAGATGAAATAACAAAGCTATTGTACTGTTTGCAAGAGACTGGTATGTTTTATCTTTTAAATAAAAAATTTAATGATCAAGGATTCTGCGAAGTTTTTTAAATGGCTCACAGAATTAAAACAATGTATTATTCACATGCCCAAATTATACCAGTTTGGATTCAATATTGTAAACAGTAATAAACTGCTAGTTTATCAGAAAATGTAAGTAGTATTATCTTTAAAATAAACCCTAATACTTGATCAATCAACTGGCAGCAGGTAAGTCATAATATTAACCTTTCACTCATATACATTTTTTCCAAAACAATATTAACACAATACATTCAAACACCTTGTGAAAAAACAAAAAATATAATCTATGACATTCCAAAGTTATGAAAATATTAAAATGCGGTATTATATCGTTTATAAATTTAAACATCTGAAGGTAGCTTTCACTTTCAGAATGGCAAAGTACTTTTCAGGAGAGGCAACACATTTACCATGCACTTACGTTCAACTAAAAATGAAATACATTCTTGAAACAGTAGTTTTCTTTCTATATGAGCCGTTGAGAACAAAAGTGCTGTAAGTCCAAAAACGTAGTTTCTGGAAAATGACGTGTAAATGAAAACGGCGCAAAACTATAATGCGTAGAAGTAAATGACCTAAAGAGTTATGAACGTGTTACGGTGATATTCTTTTAACTTACTACGGATATTTTAGATTGAAACAATACTTATTACTACTTCATTATTTATTGTCTTAAACCAGTTTTCCACACACCGTTTCTGAAAACTATAACTTACATTGAAATAATTGGCATGAATAATTTTCGTCTGCTATAGTAATGTGATAAAAAATGGAGAAATATAGTGATTTTTTTGCAAAACTTAAAATAACAATGTACACAATGTATTTATACACATTTATACACTATGTTTTCATATTTTGTACTTATATTCTTGTGAACCCTAGATCCCTAGCGGATGCCAAGCAAAATTAAATCCCTCCGACAACATCCCGCCCTAACGAGATCTCACTTTCTCCCAAACAGATAGTTCGGATATAGTTATCTGATACCGACATCTGGTAAAAAAAGTGAGTCACACCCCAGGCGCATCAGGAGACTACCCGCAAGGAGCGCCTGCTCTAAAGGTCTCCAGACACGCGTCGGAGGTTGGCTTCTAAGGAAGCCAGGGTCGAAAAAGAGGTTGGCATCCAACTGTTTTGAATATCCTCTTAGGGAAATCACCAAGGATCGCACGCAATTTAGTATATTTTACTACTACCACAACCAAGTATGAACACTTGCCCCTAGAAAAAAAAGTCGCACGAAAAATTCACAACCATGGTGGCAATCATGGACAATCCTCGATATGGAGAGTGGGAAGTCATTGACCAATCGCTGTTACCTAAAAGCTTGGTGTCTATAGGTTTGTGGCAAAATCCCAAGGATCAGGAAAGACCCTCTTCCGGGGAAGGACCTCGTTTCTTTACCTGTGAGGCGGAAATACCATCTCTGTCGACGGTCAGATTTTGCCTGCCCACAGTGGCGGAAACATATTAG